CACAACTTTTGGTGAAAACTTTTGGAAAATGAACCCCTAAGAAATTACTCAAGTGCTGGAAGCATCAGTAAATTTTCACAGTGTTTCCTGAACCTGTGTGCAATATTTGTATGTAAATTTAACCCGAATCTGCACATCTGTTCTAAGCACCCAGGTCAAGCAAAGTTGTACTGCACAGCTTTGACCTAGAAAAGCACTTAAATAAAATATTCATGCTCGTGTGGAGAAATGAACTTAAACCCAGCCAGTCTGTGCCTTTTATTGCCACTCTGAACACAAGATGGGAGGCTGCTGCTTGTGCTGGGAATATGTGAAATCTGAAGTCCTGCTGAGCTCCTATTTCCATTCATGTTTTTTAGTCCCCGTTGGTTCCTCTCCACATCCTTGGATGTTTCATATCCTCACACAGAAATGATGTTTTAAATTGCCTTCATCTGCAAGGCTCTTTCATTGTTGTCACGGGGCTCCAGGGAGGAATAAAACAATGATATTCAGGAGATGGAGTGGCTGTGTTTAACATGATAAAAACCCAACGTGCCTGGGGCAGGAGGAAAGGAATCCCCAGGCTCAGGTGTTGCTGGGGGCAGATGTCCTGTGCTCATGCCCTCACGTGTGCCATCTGGGCACCACGAGCCACCTCTGGCCTGGCCAAGCCCAGAACCCCTCAGGAATAATCAAAATATCATTTCTGAGCAGAGCAGCTGACTTGTGAGAGATAAAGAGGACCCTTCTTGAACCTTCCTGTGCATTCTGAGGATTTATGGGAGTTTTGCAGAGCAAATCTCTTGCCTTGCTCCTTTTCCCACATCTTTGTCATTTCCATGCAGTTTGCTGGCCCTTTTCTCTACTCTTAAAATCCAATTTCATCACTTTCCCCCTTGTCTCCTTCTCCTTCTCCTTCATCTCCTTTCTCCTTTCTCCTTTCTCCTTTCTCCTTCTCCTTCTCCTTCTCCTTCTCCTTCTCCCTCATTAGAAGAGTTTGTTCATTTCTGGCAATCAGTGGGAGTTAAAAAAAAACAAAACAAAACAAATTTTTGCTGGGTAGGATTCTGAGTGATGGCTGGGTCACAAGAGGAGGGAAACCTTTTGGTTTGAACTGAACACTGGATGTCATTTTCCAGGATTTCTAAATGATTTACAAGGAAATAAATTTCATTATTAATGATGAATATACTCTGGTTTTTAGATGAGACTGAGTGGGTGAGTAATTTTACCAGGAGTTAGAGAAAAGAATAAAATCATCTGTATAATTTACCCTTGTTTGTGGTACTTAAGGAAAATATTTACAAAAATGGAAGAGTCTGGATGACTGATATCTGAATTCCAGCTTTATGTGGACTATGGTCAGGAAAATAAGGATGGCCATGGATGCTTTAGACAGTCTGCTCCTCAGCCTTATGTTGTCTAAATGGACAAATATTATCGTAGAGGAAAAGCAACTCTTGGGGTTGCAGTCTCTCCTTGGCTTTGGAGGCTCCTTAGGTGTATTTTACACAAATCAGACACCCAGGACAGGAGCTGTACTTTGTGTGCCCTCCTGGGCATCACTTCAAACTCAGGAATCCAGCACATCCTGGTAACTGTGACTGGGATTATTGAAATCCCTGCAGATTTTCCCTGTGCTGTCCCAGCCATCCCTGCCATGCTGGAGCTGCCCCACCACTGAGTACCAATGTTCTGTGGTGGAAAAAGGCATTGTTCACATGTCTGCTCCTTCCATTCTTTGGAATTTCCCTTCCAGAGTTTTGTGTTGCTGCCTGGAGCTGCATCAGATCAAAATTCCTGCCCCAAATCCCTGTCAATGGTGCCCATGGAATTTCCCTCTCACATGGTTGGGTTTAGGGGGTGTGATGCAAATTGTGGCTGCCTTTGGTACAAGCCCCATGAGGAAGGGCTGAAAAGGGGCTCAGGCTGGAGAAAAGGAGGCTCAGGGGGGATTTGTGGCTCTGCACAACTCCTGACAGGAGGGGACAGCTGGGGGTGTTGGGCTCTGCCTCCAGGGAACAAGGCCCACAAGGGGAAATGGCCTTGAGGTGTTCCAGGGGAGGTTTAGATTGAATATTAGGAGAAATTTCTCCATGGAAGGGCTGTCAAGCACTGGAAGAGGCTCTCCAGGGGGGTGGTGGAGTCACCATCCCTGGAAGCATTTAGAAACAAGCATTTAGAATCCCTGTCAGTGGTGCCCATGGAATTTCCTCTTCACGTGTGAGGTTGAGTAGGTGGAGTTTTGTGGGTGTGATGCAAATTGTGGCTGCCTTTGGTACAAGCCCCATGAGGAAGAGCTGAAAAGGGGCTCAGGCTGGAGAAAAGGAGGCTCAGGGGGGATTTGTGGCTCTGCACAACTCCTGACAGGAGGGGACAGCTGGGGGTGTTGGGCTCTGCTCCAGGGAACAAGGTCCACAAGAGAAAATGTCCTCAAAATGTTCCAGGGGAGGTTTAGATGGAATATTAGGAGAAATTTCTCCATGGAAGGGCTGTCAAGCACTGGAAGAGGCTCTCCAGGGCGGTGGTGGGGTCACCATCCCTGGAAGCACTCAGAAACATGCAGATGTGGGGCCTGGGGACATGGTGGACTTGACAGCATTGGCTTCAAAGTTGTATTTAATGATCTTGGAGATCTTTTTCAACCATAGTGATCCCATGAGTCTCTGATTTTTAGAGTAAATCCTTCCTTTGGCAGCCCTCTGGTGCTGCTCAGAGTGCACTGTTTGGTGTGTGCTGGGGTGGGCCCTATGAGGGACTCATCCCTCACCTGCCTTGCCCAAATTTCTGTGGGCTCACAAAAAGGCAGCAGCTCCTGTGGCACAGGGGAAAAGATTTTCCCAGCCTTGGGAGCTTCCTTGGGAGCTCTGAGAGGAGTTTGGATGCTGGTGGCTGGAACCTGTCCCATGTCACTGCGCACAGGCCCTGCAAATTAACCGGGGTGAGGTAATAATAACCCTGATCCACAGGAGGGGCTCGTGTTTCTCAGCAGCTGAGGGGGAAATGAAACTTTGATGAGTTAACCAAGAGCCAGAAGGCTCCCAGCAGCTGTAAGGAGACACCTGAAGGGAAAGGTGAGTCAGGATGTGCCTGCAGTGAGGCAGGGATAGATCCAGACAGGGGAGCATCGCTTTCGTCCTGAGGAAATGGAGGAACCACCCAGGAGGGACTGGGGGAACCAGGCACAGAGTGGGGACTCTTGGCATTCCCTCACTTCTTGGAGAGGATATTTGCAGGGCTTCCCATCCCTGAGGTGTCCCACAGGCTTTGGGGAAGGCAGGGATTTGCCCTGAACCTTCTGAGCTCAGGAATCCTCATGACATAGGGTTGGTGGTTTCCTCCCTCACAGGCACCTTCTGTTCCTCATCTTTGGTGTTTTCCTGGTGTCATGTAAGGATGGATAGCCCTACATAGCCATAAATAATCCTAAATAACCATAAATAATCATAAACAACCATCAATATATTGCTGATCACATTCAAAACCTAAAGTTCTGCAAATGTTCCAGCTGGGTTGGTCACTTCTCTGAGACAAGAGGAAACAGCCTCCATGTGCACCAGGCACAGAGTGGGGACTCTTGGCATTCCCTCACTGCTTGGAGGGGATGTTTGCAGAGCTTTCCACCCCTGAGGTATCCCACAGGCTTTGGGGAAGGCAGGGATTTGCCCTGAACCTCCTGAGCTCAGGAATCCTCATGGCGTGGGGTTGGTGGTTTCCTCCTTCACAGCCACCTTCTGTTCCTCATCTTTGGTGTTCTCCTGGTGTCATGTAAGGATGGATAGCCATATATAGCCATAAATAATCCTAAATAACCATAAATAATCCTAAATAACCTAAATAATCCTAAATAATCATAAATAATCCTAAATAACCATAAATATGTTGCTGATCAGGTTCAAAATCTAAAGTTTTGTAAATGTTCCAACTAGATTGATCTCTTCTCTAAACAAGACAAGAGGAAACAGCCTCCAGGTGCACCAAGAGAGGTGTAAATTGAATATAAGGAAACATTTCTCCATAGGAAGGGGTGACAGGCTGTTCCAATCCTGGGGGAATTTAAGGGATGTGTGGATGTGGGGTTGGGAGTGCTGGGGGAGCAGCTGGACTTGATGGTCCCAAAGGTCTTTTCCAATCTAACCAATGATATCAGGAATTGTTTGACAGAAACATTGAACAATTCTTGCAGTTTTTTATGCTGCTCAGAAGGATACTTGGGCTCAGTTATTTTACCTTGACGCTTGCAAGTTTTGGTTTTTTTTTTCTTTGTTTTTGTGGTTTCTTTTGTTTTGTTTTGCTTTTCTGGAAAGTCTAGACGTGCATCCTTTTACATAATTATAAAGGAGGGAAAAAAGCACCCCAATAGATTGTTCAGCACAATCACCCATTGTTATCCTGTGTCCTTAAACTGAAATGTTCTTAAATTGAAGCATCATGTAAAATACATGGAGCCATGTTATTTCCTCTTGCCCTTCTGTGCATCTTTATCTTGTCACTTTGCTTTTTCCTGTGACAAAAATGTGATGCAGCTCACTCCAGGGATGTGCTGAAGTCCATTTGCAGCCAGAGGTTGCTTTGAAGTAGCACAACAGAGGCTTTATTGATTTATCCTTTGCATTCAGAACAAAGATTTGTGTGATCTGCTACAGGTATTACCAAAAGCTTCCATCAGCTATTCCAGCTTCATCCCCAAAATAATTTCTTTGTGTTTAGGATCTATTTTCAGAAGTCATTGCTTGTACATATGTATATACATAGGTCTTATTAATACAAACCTTTAATTCAAAGGCTTGTTAATGATGAAACCTGGCAGGAATTAGTACTAAATGGAGCTCATGAGAATTCTGTTCAGAATATCAGGACAAATCCTCTCATGAAGGCACAATTGAAGTGTAATTTTTACATTTGTCTATATACCACAGGTGCCACAGCTTGGAATTTTTTCTTTGAGAAGTAATTTATAAGGATGTATTTTCTATTTCATGGCAATTGGAACTGATTTTATTTTATTTTCTTTACAGGATTAGCTGGAACTGCTGCAGACCTAGAAAAAAGAAAGCTTATTTTTGGAAAAAATTTTATACCTCCAAAGAAGCCAAAAACATTCATACAACTAGTTTGGGAAGCGTTGCAGGACGTGACTCTTATCATCTTGGAAATTGCAGCCATCATATCTTTGGGGCTTTCCTTTTATCAGCCACCTGGAGAAGGGAATGAAGGTAAAAACTTTTCACAAAAGTCATCTCAGTTTAAGCAAAGCATGTCCTAAATCTCAAATCAATTCCATCCCCAGCCTCCAGAAGGTCACTAACAGGAAACTTCCACGTGGTTTGTTCCTGATCCCATTACATCTGCTCCTGACATATTTTTCTTTTCATCTTGACGTTTCTTTATGCAAATCCTGAACCTCATGACGTGAGTTAAAGGAAAATCATAACTTTTCTTGTGAAACTGGAGGGGTTTTGATACAGTTTGCACCTTTGAGCCTGCATTTGGAGGGTGTTTGATTCATCCTTTGTGGTTGTTTATCACGTATTATGGATGAGAAATATGTAATTGCTTATGTAACTGCTGGATCCCATGGCAGGAGCACAGATCTCCAGTTTACACCAGATGAAGGCTTGAACTCAGTGAGATTCACACATCTCAGTATTTTTAGTGGTGCAGCTCAGGCTCATGAGCCTGGCTCCAAAGGGAATATTGGAGCAAAATCCTGTTCCTGATAAATATTCCCCATATTCCGCAGAGCCTTTCTGGCTGCAGGAAGTTTTACCACCCTGCCTGCCCCCCTTCCTTTTTTCCCATTTCCCCTCCACCCTCTTTGGAAAGCACTCTTGAATTCACATGCTTAAAATATTTGTTCCTCTCCATAAATGCAAGATTTCCATTTCTGGCAGCTGATCCAGATTTTTTGTCCTCCCCCCCCCTCTCTCCTGCTCCCTCCCAGACTTCTAAAGCTGGATCAAACATGCTGTGTGAAATGACGTGAGCAGCTTGGCAAATGTAGGAAGAATGTCTTCCTCTAAATATAGCCCTGAAATGCTTTTTACATTTGCTGCAGTTTCCTTTGGCTGCTTTTCCTTGCAGCCCCTTCCTCCTTGCCTTGCCATTCAGCAGCACAATCAGCACGTAGCCCTGCACAGCTCCTGCCTCCTGCCTGGGCTGCTTTCATCCTTTGGAAATCATTGGGAGCCTTTCAGTGCTCCCTCACTGCATTTTGAATGCTTGGCTATTGATTCAGCAGGTGCTCGATTTAGGCATGAAAAGATAAAGGAGTCATTGCTTTATTTCTTTTTTTTAACTAAAGAAAATGTTATTTATTGGAATTACCTAATCCCACTGGTGGGATACCTTGGGGGCATTATAAACCATGAGACATACTTGACAAAATTAGGGTTTAGCTTAAACTAAATGTGCAGATTGCCCTATTTTTTTATTTTGTTTTATCTTGCAGGAAAAGAATTTTAAAATCATAATTTCTCCAGGTTTTAGGGGAGCTGTGTCATCAGGCAAGGGGAGGCTTGTTCCTTTCTTTTTCAAATTGTTATTCTTCTTATTTTGATCCTGCATTTAAAATGTTTCTTTTCCCATGGGAAGACAGGAGCCAGCTGAGATTGTGTGGAAAGCTCAGCAGCACAGCCTGGGAAAATGTGTTTGTGTTTTCCCACAGCACAGCATTCTATTCAATAGTCACTGCTTTCCCTGCTTTAAATTGTTTTCCTGAAAGCTTTTGCCCTGGTTTACACAAGAAGAAAAATCAAATTAGTGAACATCTTGTAATCCAATTTGTGGAACACGTTGTTAAGGTCTTCCATACTTTTTTTTTTGAAATCTTTCTTTGGGCAGTTGTATAAATAATTCCCTTTAATTTTAAAATTAGTATATCATAAATTACTGCCAAGGTTACCTTTAATTTATTGGTAGATGACTTTTTGAAGAGTCCCAAACTCTGGAAAATGGACATGTTAACCTTGATTTTACCTTGGTGAACTTGGGAATATTTCCACTTGTAATTGATTTTAATGGGTCTGACTTCAGTAGTTTCCTTTCCTCATTCTCCCCAGAATGAAAATTTCATTGAAATATGCACTTATTGGCAACTTTTATGTTGGTTTTTTCCCCTTGAAAATAATATATTTACTTCTGAAAGTACAGCCAGGTGTAAGAAAGGAGAGCTGGCATATGTTTTTCTCTATTCTTGATCTTGCCTCCTCTTTAAAATTCTGATTTTTTTCTTTTGTTTTTGCAAATGAAATGCATTTTCATTTTGAAAATGAGCTAAGAGGAGTTTTCTTTCCACACTGATTTATTCAACCACCACTGCCAATATTCTGAGCTCATCAACTTCTTGCTTGGAGTATCTTGAAAAGTTGTCATCCCCCCAGAAGTGACAGTCTTGCTTTGGAGGACTAAAGGATAACATGGAAACAAGAGACTTTAGGACACAATGTCAGGGAAACATCACTTGTAAATTGAGCATTTATCTGCCTTTATTTAATATATCTATATCTGCCTCTCTCACATCCTGAATTTACATCTACCAATGGCATTACTGGTTAGTATAATAATCATTATAATCTGTATTTTTAAAAATAAGTGTAACTCTTCCTTTTCTTGACTCTTGAAACCCACTTGTAACTTTTGAAGCTGTAACAGAATTACCATTTAACTGCTGTCTGCAGTTGAAGTGCAAAATATATTTCTCCTGAGGCTTTAGAAGGAGAAAAGCAGGATGAAATCCACACTTCCAACAAATATTAGAGTGCTCAGGAGCCTTGTGTAAGGATGTGAGTGTTCCCATCTTCATTTCAGATCTGGTGAGTCTTGGAGAACATAATTTCCATGGCTGGTGCAATCAGGGAATCTGATCTAGAGGAATCTCTGGATAAAAATGCGGTTTTATTGCTTCTCCAGAAGCCACCCCAGTTCTTTCTTTTCATATTCTTTAGCAGGAGTGCAGGTTTCAGGAATGTTGCTCTCAGGAATGGTTTTGGTGATGTGCTTTGCATTCCCTTTCACCATCTGACAGGCCATGAGAAGCAGTTGAGAACTTCTGCATAAATCATTGTCAGCCCCGTGGCAATTACTGCTCTCATTACTGAGCCACACGAAATCAGTTTGCTGCCCTTTCAAAAAAGTGCAAAACTGAGGCTGGATTTCAGCAAATGCATCTTGAGAGAAAATTCCCAGTGCAGGTGTGGCCTCCAGGGCAGTCAGGATCACTCAGGGGCAGGGTAAGAATATTTTGTTCCTCAGGAAAATCCCTTCTGTGGTTTGTGGATTTCAGAGTTCCCTGGCCATGCAGAGCAGGGGGTCTGTGATAGCTCAGAGGATTTGATGAAAGTGTGAAATAATTAATTCACATTATTTGTTTTGTAAGGTAGATTAGAGGTAGTCCAGGACTAAAATTGAAAAGGGGCAGGGTAAGAATATTTTGTTCCTCAGGAAAATCCTTTCTGTGCCCGGGGTTTGTGGATTTCAGTGTTCCCTGGCCATGCTCTGTGGTAGCTCAGAGCATTTGATGAAAGTGTGAAATAATTTAATTCACATTATTTTTTTTGTAATGTAGATTAGAGGTCCAGGACTAAAATGGAAATGTTTGTCAGTATATGGTGAAATTATTTTTATGAACAGTTTGTAAAGAAATGCCCAGTCCTGTTTTTAAGGACAGTGTATGAGTAGAAAGAGAGCAAGCAATGGACTCAAACCACCACATTGCTTGAGGAAACAGAACATCCTTTAGGAAAGAGTGCTTGGACTCAGAAATCCAGCAAGGGAATGGAAAATGACTTCTCTTGGCCATTCCTACATCTCTGTCTTATTGTGCCTGTAGAAATGCAAGCATCTCCTTTTCCACCTGGCATTTTGTTATTTTTGGTGGGTTTTTGTTCTTTTGCTTGTTTGTGGGTTTTTAGGGTGTTTTTTTTTTGTTTGTTTGGCTGGTTTGCTTTGGTATTTCCCCACTGTTTCCCCTCAGAGCTCTGCTGGAGCAGCCCCTCCTGGCAGAAATGCCCTGGTGGCATTTGCAGCTCTGTCCCTTTCTGGGGCTGCTTTTCCCCGTCCCCCAGCAGGATTCTGCAGCTTTGGTCCAAACATTCCCAGATCCTTCTGCAAACACCTTCAGCAGCAATTTCTGAGTCCTTGTTTCCATCTCCAGCCCCTGCACCACATGTGGATTTTATTGCAAAAACTGCTGATGTCAAGCCCTGCCAATCATCTGCTGTTTACAGGAGTGTAACAAACCTTTTAACCCTTCTTCCTTGAGCTCTCTTTCCTTCTGTGGGTTGCAAAGGGGGGAGAAAGCAGCCTGAGGTAAGATGTTTTAACATCCCAGTGTTTACCAGGGAGCCCCAGGCAGGATATCTATTTTCCAGTGTACAGCTTTTAGCAGCTTAAAGGTGGAATAAAAAAAGGAAAAGTCTTTTTGGTTCAGGCAGCTTCTGTTAAAATTCCCAAGGCAAAGGTCTGGATTGAAAACAAAGTGAAATGATCAGTTACATTGCTCAGTGCTGCTCAGCAGGGCTTTGGCTGGGTTACCCTTCCCCTTACTCATACAACAAGTTGGAAAAACACAGGAACAGGACATGGTCCCCTGAAATCTGGGCCTCCCAAGCCACTTGCTTTGAGATGTTGGTGGTTTTATGCTGTTGCTGCTGCCCAGGACTGGAGCTGGGGTTCCTGCTGGCATTTCATGACCTAAAAGAGACTTGATTTCATATTTTATAAACAAAAGAGACTTTGTTTTATGGGGTTCACCACTAGGGGTTTTCTTATCATGTTTATAATGTGCCACATTGCTCAGTGAGGATTCAAGCAAGGAGATCTGAACCAGAAAGGACTTCCAGAATCTGGAGGGAAGGTGAGGATGCTGCCTTACCCTGATCCTGTGCTGAGCCTCCCTGTGGAGGCAGCACTTGCTCAGACTCGTGGCACAACAGTTGTGGGGATGTCAAATTCCTGCTCGGATGGGATGGACAGCAGGACACAAACAACCAGGGAGGGGCAGGAGCCAACCTGGCAGCAGTGCCTGAGGCACCAGGCAGCAGGAAAGGCTCTCCCTGCAGAAGCCAAGGGGTGTTCAGATTAAAAAACCCTGTAAAAATCAGTCAGAGGGGGAGAAAAAACCCAAAGCCAAACAAAGAACTTCCCCATCCCCTTGTCCAGGTTTTTGCTGTGCTCTTCTCATCTTCTCCCAGGTTCCTGCCTGTGGAGCACAGCC